GAGCTGCGAGGGGCTGGAGGTGGAATCAATTACCAATGGCCCATGATTTAATCAACCATGCCTATGTGATGAAGCCTCCATAAAAACACAAAAGGACAGGGTTTGGAGAGCTTCCGGGTCAGTGAACACATGGAGGTTTGGGAGAGTGGGGTGGTGTGCCTGGAGAGGGCATGGAGCTCAGCGTGCCTTCCCGTGTACCTTGCCCTATGTGTCTCTTCCTTTTGGCTGTTAAGTAAAGTATTTCTCTTGAGTTCTGAGAGCTGTTCAAGCAAATTAATAGAAAGCAAGGAGGGGGTCATGGGAACCTTTGATTTATAACCAGTTAGTCAAAAGGACAGGTAACAGCCTGGCCTTGCAACTGATCTCTGAAGTGGAGGACAGTCTTATGAGACTGAGCCCTTTCATTGTTCAATCTGAATTGTTTGTTAATGTGGGGAAGCCTACACACACACACACACACACACACACACACACACACACACACAACACACTCACTGGAATAGGGTCTAAGAACCCTTGCAATCTCTAAGCTTATTTTACTGTCTAAAAGAACCCACACATTAGAAATAAGATATATAGATATAGCATTGCAATCCCAGTTGATCAGGATAGCCTGTCTGAATAAGCATTGGAGGGAAGTGGAAGGTCATGTGAGGATGTGAGGTTTGGGGATGCTGTAGACATTTGGGAAGCATTAAAAGAGCACCTGTAGTTTCTGGGAGACCAATGTGTGGAGTGCAAGTGAAATACAGAGTAGAGATGCAGAGAAAACCCGGGTTCTCGGTACTTAATCAGTTTTATCAGTTTCATGAGCCATTATGTCCAGCCCCGTTTTTTTTAATGGGTTCTGGGTATTGTACTCCAAAATGTCCTAGCTGATACAGACTTCACTAATGTGAGAGAGGGAATAGTTTTACTTTCACATTTATATTTTCTAATGTAATCACTTATAACATTTCCTAATTCTTTCATAGTATTAGGATATAACAATGCTTTCTAACCCACCCCTTTTAAAAAAAAGACATAATGGAATACATAGAAAATGATCATATTTTTATGGCAGTTTTGGGCAAAGGCTTTCTAAAAGTTCTAAAATTTTGGAATGGCAAAGGTATAGAAATTCCTTTGGTTTGAAGATATCAAAGATCATAGGGAAGCTTGCTGGAAAATTGCTACTTAAAAAAAAAAGTTTTTAGGTAATTTAAGGTATTTCTTGGAAGTTGATTTCTGAGTATTTGTGAATAACCTCTCACACAGCATCGAGTACAAACAAATCTGCCATTGAATGAATTCCTTATATAAAGTTTGAGAACTAGCTTGAACTTTAAAATAGCCTATAAATATGCTATATTTAGCTATAAAACTCACAATTACTAAGGTTTTAGGAACTATGGTGATTTATATTATAGCGTACTTCTATCAATTTATTTATTGATCATATAAATAAAATATCTGAGGCTCATGTATTCATATCTGGTAAGTTTGTGGTTTTCAGAATACTAGGGAATACAGTGTTTATTTCATTCAAGACATAATTTATTGAAGTAAAAAATTCTCTAAAAAATTGGATACAAGGTATGTAGGAAAAGTTGCTGGTTGGCTGGCTGACACATTTTCTAAAAATTAAGGCAGTTGTCAAAATTGCCTAACCTTAGGCATAAGAAGATATTAGTGGAAAATTCTTCCAAGCTAATAAATTTGTTCAAATGCTCTAAATTAAAACTCAGTCAGACATTTGTTATTGTTTCCCTTTCAGTGAAATAAATAATTCACAAATATTTTGAGCATTTGATATATTTCCAACATTGTTTTAAACACAGTGGGATATCAAAAGATATCTGGTTCTTGCTTACAAGGAGGTTATGATCTATTTGCAGAAGCAAGTTACACATGGACTAAGCAGTAAACCCATGATCTTCACAGTTTTCTGACATGGTAACCACACGACACTGAAAACTCTGGAGGATCGGTGTGATGTAATGTTTCATGACCCAAAAGTTTATTAGAACTTTTGAAGAACTTTGAGGTATAGATAATGATAGAGCCATTTGCTATGAGGCTTGAGAGCTCTTTCTCAAGTGTCAGTGGGTGAGTGGTGAGTCATTAAGTGGTCATGGAAGGATATAGCATTAAGTGTTCTGTAAGTGAAGAGGAAGGAGAAGTAACCAATGTGGAAAACCCAGCGTGACCTTTTAACGGATATAAGCTGGGTTAAAGGATGAGCAAGGGCATTCCAGACCTTAGGAATGGTGTGAACAGTCTTGACTTTGTGAATGTTGTGACATATATGGAAGAGAATAGACGGGCTGTTTGGACGTAAGCCAACATGGGGATAAACTGGAAGGATTAAGGAAGGGACTACAGTGCAGGAACTGCAATCCTAATTTCTTTCTTTTACTCTAATGTTGAATATATTAGTTTTAGTCCTCTAGTCTTTGGAACATATATATTGCTTTATAATAGTTTTTAGGGCTTAGAGAATGTTAAGAATACACTTGCAGAATTATAAGGAATGATTAAGAGAGTCTCAAAACTCAGAGTTAGTAATGCTGAAATTATTGTTATGCTCTGTTTCTCTTCTGGCTTTAAATAGTATCTATTATTTTTTCTCTCCACAACCTGCAAAGCGCCAGGGATATGGAAAAAACACAAAGCACAATAAACATTTGTTGAATTAATGCATCTTTCTTGAGAGCAGACATTATATTTCTTCTTTTTTGTGATTCTCCATGACTCCTATATGGCATTATGCACACAGTGAACATCCCATAACTATAAAGTATTGAAGATGTTTATGTTACCAAGAAACAAACGTGACTGAAACCAGTATTACTTGCTCAAACTGTCTAGAGCATTCTTTCATTCATTCAGCCACTCAGTAATGGGTGCATTCACAGGACACTTCACTAAGAACTTTTAGTCTGAGGGTGATTTTATGCCTTTTACAGGCTGGCCAACTCTTACTGATCCTTCAACTCTCAGCGCACATGTCACTTTCTGTTTTAGCATTCCAGACTGGGTTAGGTGCTTATCCTTTCATAACCGTGTTCCCTAACTGTATGGTAATTTGCTCCAGACGGTGCTCCACAAGAGCAGAAGTGAGTCATTCACCTCTTGGTCCCTAGTACCAAGCCCAATACCTTGTTTATAGACGTCACTTGATGAGAGTTTGTTGAGTAAATGTTTGTAGAACAAATATAATCTTTAAGGATGGTGCTGTCAGATATATGGCTTTGAATTGGCAATTTGGCTTTTAAGTATCACATTCAGAAAACTAACTGAAAAAACAAAACTGCCACAGTTATAACAGTTTGGAGACAAATGTGAGTCAACAAGAAAGAATAATTAAAAAGTCACAAAAATGTGATATAAAATATAAGATGAAAAGTACCATTAATAAACTATTCATATTATGTGGGTATGTACATTTTTTTTATTGTGGCAAAATTTTACTGTGTATCTAGTAATTAAAATATAATTGTTAATGAAGGGGTGATGTTTATTCAATGTATGATTTAATAAAGACTGTCTTTTTAAATAACTAACTTAAATAACACTCAAAAGTTTATTTTTGACGCTCTCAAATCAAATAAGTAATGATTGTTATCTTTAGGCTACAAGTGGAGACTGATTAGATTTAAAATATTTTTCAAAAACTTAGCAGTGTTGTTTGTAACAAATAAAATGGAATCCACTAGCATGTCCTTATTTATTTGATTGTGAGTTTTCCATCCCCACCAGAACTTTTTGAGAATAAATAGAATCTACGTGTAAAGTAAAATTTGCTTTATAATCAGACATGTGCCTTTACGCATTTGGAAGTTAGAGACAACTCACAAGTCTTGGATTGGGTGAAGGCAATGATGCCACTTCATCCTCAGAACGCCATTTGGAAGAGCAGTTAAAACAAATGCAAAATGAGGGGGGAGACTTAGCACAAGTGGATTTTTGTCTCATGAGATTCGCTGAAGTGTATTATTTTCCCTAGAAATGCCTTAGTCCCAGCTTGTGCTTGTCTTAATTTTCTCCACAGCCCTCGCAGGGTACTTTGCATATTAGTAAGTATGAGCTGACTTGAATTGAATTAAGCTTGGTGCGATCCAGCTGCTCTTGAGGCAACTGGCGCCCCAAAGGCATGGAGATAGAGCAGTCCTTTTCAATAACTAATCTGTGGAACTATTTCCTACTCTATGTAAGTCCTGGAATTCTTACAGTCACAAAGTGTGGAAAATGGCTGGATATTAAAGCAGGACGTTACAGACCTACTAAGCCAACCTTGTCAGATTTCTCTTCCCTTCACCCCGAAGTAGAGTATCAGGAGTTAAAACTTCAGGAGTTACGCAGAACTCTAAGCCACATCTACTCTTACATTCTTGGGATTATTTGGGTCAATAGTTTGTCTTTCATGTGGTGTGTTTACATATGGTTGGAAGTGCTGAAGTCATTTTCACTGAGAGCATTACAAAGTAGAGAGTCTGAATGCTACAAAGGGGGGTGATTGTTATTAACAGTCAATCAAGAGAAACAACAATTGAATCAGGAGTTGAATGGGTAAAACAATATAGAGTTAGTGTTTTGTGAATTTTGTGTATTTAAAAAAAAGACCTAGGACATTAAACCAAAAGTAAACCAACTGAAAATTGGTAGTTCTTTTAATTTTATACTCATTTAATTTGTGGACTAATTCTTGATGCATATGTTTAGCCAAAAGTTGAAAAGCAAATACAAAGATCAAATTTCCGCCTCCACTCCCCACCCCTAAAGAAGGACGTTAAAAGTACTTAACTTACACATTTTACTGGGTTGATTTATTTAAAGCTCAGTTGACCTAAATGTTATAAAACGTCTACACATAAAGATGTTAGCAGGTATTTTTATATGGGCAAATCCTGAATATGATGGAAATGTGATTTCAACTTGGAACATACAACTAGCAAATTTAAGAATAGGAGTTTTCTTTTTAGCTTGTTGTGGAAATAACACCATGTCTTTGTTTTCAGTTAACAGGGTGAAGTCACTGCCAGAGCTTGACTTCCTGCTATGAAAAAGGTAAGGTATGAAAGAAAGGAACAATCCCAGTGGAAATTCCACCATAAGATCACATACCGACCAAATCTTACTATTTAGTATTTCCACTTGTAGACTAGATTTTATTTGACATAAATATATCAAAAAGTATGTGCTTTTAATTTAAATTTCTTTCTTTCTGAAAAACAAAAAGCAAGGCATCTGTTCTATAAAATGAATAAACTTAGGTAGAGTTTGCTAAGTACTGTGTTTTCTAACTGTGGCCTCTAGAGTTTATTTAATGTGGTTCATCTTCAGGAAGTTGCAGAGTAATGAAGAGTCTTACAGGAAATAGTGACAGTTTTACTGTTATCTTTAGGAAAAGTCCCACGAAACAAAGGAAACCATTTTTAAACTTAGAATTTTTTTTTAAGCTCAGTTTAGGATTGTATAATAGAGCAAAGCATGCCTATTGTTTGCAGTTATTCCTTTAATAATAATAATTATCACACATGTTTTGGTGATTAGCTCCCTAAAATCCTCATGAATTTTAGGTAGGTTAAATTAGAGTTGTTTTTTTTTTTTTTTTTTCCCTTAAGGCTTGGAATAGATATTTAAAGACTTGTCCAAAGCCACATAACCAGTTAGTGGCAGAACTGGTGCTAAGGACAGGTTTGCTGACTTTAGCTCCATCTCCATTGTTTTGTTTTTTTCTCATTACTTCATCCTATCTTATTTAATTTACTATGGGGAAATATATTCTGAGGAAAATAAAAATAAATGGAAAAGAATAACATGAATTCTAAATTAAGGCTGTTGTTTTAGTAATTTTCAGCATCCTGGTGTATTTCATTCCCAGGATGTTAATGCCCTGCAGTGGCTGCTGACATGCAGCAATGAGGCTGCAGACTTGGGCTCAGGAGTCAGGCACTTGGGTGGGGCTCGTTCTGCCCCTCACTAAGTGTGAGAGCTTGTGTCTCAGCTGCCCCTTTGGAAGATGGAGAGCATAGCAAAACCTACCTTTGGGGGTTGTTGTGAGAATTCAATGAAGTATAGTTTATTTAAAGTATTTATAATAGCGTTGATGTATATACTAAGTGCTCCCCAAATGTTAGAGACTTTATATTTACTTTAATAATTAATATTATCAAGGAAGATGAAAGATTTATTTTCCTCAATTAAAAAACTAAAAAAAGTTAGGGATCAAGGGGAAATTCACTTTCTGGAGAGGGGCTTCTCAGTGCTCCAGTGATCTCATAAGCATTGTTAGTTCACGGTAAGGGCCATTGAATGAGAAACAGAAGAATAATGTTTTCAATTAGTAAACATTTTATAAACAAGGTAAATTAGCAGCTTAGTTACTAAATTAAATTATCTTGCTTTGAAACTCAGGCTTTCTTCTAAAGAAATATTTGTTAAATAGACTAAGAAGTCCCTTCAGATGTGGCATTACTTCTCAGAATAAGCACTGTCAGGAATTCTGGGTAAATGTATTTAAGACATGGATTAAATATTCACTAAGTATGTGAGTTTAAAAATTATAAAAGTCTTGGGAGTTTGTTTTAGAAAATCTACCAAAAGTAAGCACTGTGAAAGTAGTAGTTTAATTTTTGGTTCTGATTAGAGAAACTGACACTCCTTTTTTTTTCTCAGCCAGTTAAATATATATAGAATTAGAAACTGGTAAAGTTGGAAGAAAACACTTCTGATCATGCGGTCTTATGCTTTTCAAGCTTCTCACCATGGCACCTAATTACAAAAATGTAACCTATGAAAACCAGGAGGAGCAGCTGTAGTTGTTTCAAGAGAGGGGGTTGGAGCTGGGCTCACCGCTTCTGCAGAACTCTGCAAAGCCCGTGAGCGCACCTCCCCTTCAACAGGTGAGGAAACTGACTCCGTAGGCAATGTGCGCCTTACTCAAAGACACACTTTCAGACAGACAGTGGCGGAGCCAGTTCTTGAATAAATACCCTCTCCTCTTTTGATTTTACCCTATATCCTTCCTAGTAAAGGATCTGTAAATTAGAGCCCTTTAACAATCCAGATCCTTTTCTCTTCTCCACTTTTATTATAGAGTTGTACTGACAGAAAGTCCATTTAGCTTGATATCAGCATGACGGGCATGTCCTTGGATCAGTGCAAATCCATCCCAATTACTGTTTAATTGATTAACTCATTAATATCTGTTAATCACCTGCTCTGTGCACCTACTGGGCGCCATATTACGCCCTGGGAATATCAAGTTGATGAAAACGCCATCTTTTCCCTCATAGGTAGAAGAGGAATGTAGAGAGAGATGCATAAATAAATACTGTGTCTCTTGTAGTGGCTTAGCTAGAAAGTAAAAATTGTGTGAAAAATATTAATTCTTTAAACATTAAATATTAATCATTATATAATGCTCTGTTCATGGTAAATGCAATACTTATATACTGGAAGGAAAGGCAGGATTTTGATTAATTTTTATTAATTTATATTTTTATTTAGACTTTTTTTTAAAAAAGTTACTTTATTTTTAATGATTTTTTTTTTATTAAGTAAGTAATTTAGTTATTGCTGTGAGTCACAAATCCCATGGGCTGGATGCCCCCTGATCTCCGTTGGGTGGTTAGGTCACTGATGAAGTTGAATAATGCTGAGGATGGAGGGTTCTTTCTTGTAGTCTAATCCTACACTGGAACCTGAACGGGTGGTAATGGGGAGTATAGACCTCCTGATAGAAATATATCTCCTTATGTAATTACTGATGGCCAAGGTCGCTGTTTATCCTAACTAGTCAAAGTTGCTTTAAGCCTAGAGTGGTTCCTCTCAATGATTAAGCTTGATTGATTAGCCATGATCAAGACAAAATCAAAGACTTCCTTTGGCAGGGAAAATTAATGGCACCAGAGACCCGTGCAACTATGCTAGGCCTTACTTCGGGATTCCTTGCCTTCTAGAAGCCTTGTTCATATTAAAGTTCAGAATTTTGAGGATCACCTAGCCCCTGTTACAAGTGCTTACCTGACTGTCGCTACCTTGATGTTGAATTGTGCTTCTTTTTGATTGTTACAGTAAATCAGAATTTCTCTATTGCTTGCTATCATAGTAGGCTGCCCACCATACAGTGAATCCTCCCTTACTTTATTCTACCATGTCGAACAATGTTTACTGCTCTACCAACCTTAAGGAGGGTATCTGGTTCTCTTTTGTATCCTGATCCATGTATCTGTGCTTGCTTCTACCTGAAAGCTTACTGCACTAAGCGTTCTCTGTAATAATGTTTGTACTGTAGACTTTAGTTTCCATGATGGAGTCATTTGTAATGGACAAACCTTCCTGCAATAAATAACTAAAAAAGCTGGACAGAATATGTAAGATAATAGATTGAAGACATTGGAGAGCAACTGACATAGTCGGGACGCAAGGGTGGTTCTGATCCTTGAGAGAAGAGAAGCACATTGGCTGCACTTAAATTCTCCCTGGCTACCCCTATGAGAGCATTGTCTAAATTTTAGCACAGGTAAATGAAGTATAAGAAGAAAGTGGCGGGCTTCCCTGGTGGCGCAGTGGTTGGGAATCTGCCTGCCGATGCAGGGGACACGGGTTCGTGCCCCGGTCTGGGAAGATCCCATGTGCCGCGGAGCGGCTGGGCCCGTGAGCCATGGCCGCTGAGCATGCGCGTCCGGAGCCTGTGCTCTGCAGCAGGAGAGGCCACAGCAGTGAGAGGCCCGTGCACCGCAAAAAAACAAATAAATAAATAAATTACAAGATGTGCTTTAAAACCAGAAAAAAAATAATGACCAAAACCCAAGAGAAAAAAGACAATAAACACATACATGATTTAGATATTGCTATTATCAGATAGGGACTTTAAAATAACTATGGTAAATCTGATCAAGAAAATGGAGAAAATGATGTACAAAATAGATGAAAATATAACTTCAACAGAGAATTGGAATCCATATAAATTAATCAAATGGACCTTCTTGAGCTGAAAAATACAATATTTAATATTAAAAACTTTGGATGTTTTGAACAGCCAGGTGAACACATTATTGATGAACTAGAAGACACAGGATTGATGAACTAGAAGACAGGTCAAAATAAGCTAAGAGAGAATGGAAACAGAATAGAACATAAAAGACACATGGTACACAAACTGACTTCTGAACTCCCTATTCTCCAGAAAGAGACTTCATACTTGGAAGCTCTATGGATTGCTTTTTTCTAGACTATTGGATGCTACTAGAAACATACTTAGACATATCTAATTCCATTGCTGATTCAAAGCATTTGCATTTTCAAGGGAACTTAGGGAACTGAGAGATGCTTTTGTTAACCTTAATGGAAAATCTATTTCCTTTAAGTTGTATCTTTACCAAAATTGGACAACTTCTGAAAAGAGAACAGAGTACAAGATCTTAGGGAGTAGAAATAATCTATATCAAGTTTTCTTCCTAAAGGAAATAATGCAACGTCTTAAGAGTGTATTTTCATGTTTTAGTTTTCTTTTTTTCATTTTTATTCTAGTTTTTATTTCAAAACTATTTGGATCAGTAGCAGATCTCTGTCCCTTTTACTTTATTCTGTTTTCTTTGCTTCCCACTTTTGATCTGTCAGTGCTTGTGTTCTGTGCCTTTTTACTATATTAAAAGTCTATAAGGTTTTCCATTTCTGGAAAATTAGGCAGAGAGCAGAATTTTTGATCCAAGTTTTCATAATTTGCAGCATGAGAACTGTTTCGGTTGCAATGCATCTTTTATGGGTTTTAAACTATTTTTTCTTGAGACTTTTGTGCATTGCTTGTAGCCCACCCTGACACTGTTGGGGGAAAATAACATACTCTGACAGTAGTCTTACTGGTGTCTTGGAAAAAGACAAAAACGTGGAAGGCAGATTAATGAAGATATTAATGAAAAGTGGATAGTGTATTTTATTTCTTTCTATTCACTGATTCTCAACTAAAAATTAACCAAAAGCCAATGCTTGGTAACATAAAACCTTGGCTATGTTATATATGTGGAAATGGCTTCTGACCTAGAAATAACATTGTGTTCCCTCCCACCCCCTACCTTTTTCACCCAACAGCCTCATCCCTTCCCCTCCCCGACAAATCCTTGATGATAAAGAGATTTCCTCTGTATACCCAATAACACATGAATCCAATTGCAAAGAACTGATTACACCACAACTCTGCCTAATATATTGATACTATGATGACCCAGTTTCTGAGGCTAAGATTTTTTTCTTGATCATAAAATGCTTTCACAGATGTTAAGTCACTTGATTTTCTCAAAAATTGTGTGAGGTACGGAGAGCGAGTATTATTACACCTATTTCACAATAAGGAGACTAAGGTAGATGAAGTGACTCACCCAAGGCAATAGCTAGTAAGCTTTAAAGCCAGGACTCATGCCTTTGCTACTCTTCAGTGTTGACACCCTTACTTAGGAGGCTTGGGTGGAATGGTAGGTGGATGCTAGGAGCATTGTTATTATTGAAATGTTTTCATAGTATAAAGTAGGACTATGCCTACCTTAAATCCATGATAGGTATAGACTATATTTTGACTACTGTTCTAGTGCTAGTGGAAGAGAGATGTTCTACTTTGCAGAAGCCTTTTACAATATGAATCCCTAAATCCTTTTGGGAAATGGTAAAAAACAATAGTTTTAGAAATTTGTGCGGACCTTAATAAAGAGGAAATGAATACCCATAAGTGGTTTGACAAGCTCAGGAAAATGTTCTTGGGAATGTGCAATAATGGTTCAGATTAGATGACATCCTGAATCAGAAAGGACTTTGCAGATCCACAGTTATTTAAGGTGTGGACCAACAGGACGCCAAGCATTAAAGCATGTTCTGTGACTACTCCTAGTGTCAAGGTCATATTGGGAGACAATTCTTGGAGTGTCTTGGAGTCTCACATTTCTCCCTGTCTTATGAGCAAAGGAAGTAACTAACTTTATTCCACTCTATTATTTCCAGAATGTTTGTGCAGTGAACAGCCTTAGAAGATGTAGATAGTGTCTCCCTTCAGAGCAAAAGGCAGGCATGCTTACTGTCCAGTATAAAAGATTCAGGTTCCCTAAGCTCAGGGTCCTTCTCCTATAATGCTTATTGTATGTACAGGTGTCACCTGACCCTCTTTGTGTTGCCCTATGGGAATTGGCTCTCTGGGAACTAGTGCAAGAAAATAATGATATTCTGGCTACCACTACTGCTGAGAGGAATAAAGTCAATTGTGTCTGACACAGGCATGTCACATATTCTTCCAGCATCTGTAAAAGTATGAATGTTAGTTTGCAAATAGCCTTCACCGCACAGTTCTGACATGTCTCAAGCCATCTCCTCCTCTCCTAATCTCTGTTCTAGTGCAAAAAAAAAAACCAACAAAAAACCACAAGACATTTTGAGTCCATGAATGTGGTTTTCTGAGTCTTGTGTATTTTTAGCAGGATGATTCTGGCATTTCACAATGAACATTGTGGAAACCAGATATGTAGTTGGTAGAGATCAATCAGCAAATCATGACACTGCAGAGAAGTTGGGGATTCTTAGATAATTCACTGCTCCTCTTCCCCTGCAGACTTCAGTCTCTTTAAGTCCAGCCTTGAACAAACCTGGGATATAGGTCTTCAGTCTGAGGAACTGCTTTTATTTTCCCATTTTATTACTCAACATATTTGGAAATTATCCTCATTGTTCCTCACCAGGCTGGATTTTCATCCTTAGCTCATTACTAGACTTCCATTTCTGCATAGCCCTCCAGTTCTTGGCAAGATAACTGTGTTCTCTCTCTTGATTTTTTATGATGGAAATTAACACAAAAAAACATCTCTGATAATATTTAAGATCATTTAAGATGGGGAATGTTTTTTAGCATTCTAGATTAGGT